AACGATAGAGATACATATGAGGTGCGTATTGTGCGTACGACTGCGTATGAAAAAAATGTCAATGCGCAACTCATAAGGAATTAGGATACGCAGAAGTGTGACAGGGCCCTTACAGCCAGGTTTGTCAGAACAAGGCATCACATAATATAAATTAAGATGGGGTTCGAACCGTTTTGAAAGATTATTCACTATGACATTTTGCTCATTATATCTTTATAAACTGTATATTTTAATTGTCATGACAGTTTTGGAACAAAAGAAGCCTTCCCGACATCATTCGCATTTTTTCCAGGAAACTGTAGGCTACAACTAGTACAAGAGCCATGCAGTACCTGTGTAGCGTTTTCTTCCATATAATTATAGCTTAATTTGTTAACTTTTAACCCCTCGCACAATGCCCCCAGCAACAGTCCAGTGGTGGGTAAAAGTTATGACCCTATAGTATCAATCTTCCTAATTGATTGATTACTATTACTGAGCCAAGCCCCACTTTTATTACTTTGTCCCTCTTACCACATTTTATCACCTAGCCACAAAGTCCATTAGTACATGCCTTTGGTCCCTAGTTTTTATTGCTTTTAAATTGGATAGTCAGCCCCACCTTACTTATTAGATTCTTCACTCATTCTCCTTTATTACTTTCTTCGCTCACTCTTCTTTCAACCATCGAACGAGACACATGTCTCCGAATTCTCTCTTGTCATTACGGTAGTCTAGTTGTTCGATTGTACGAAAGCCCTGTAGTGCCATCAAGTATATATTTTGTCCAAGTTCGTTTTTATGAGATATATTTTTCCCAAAGTTCGTTTTTATGAGATACATTTTGTCGAAGTTCGTTTTTATGAGATACATTTTTCCCAAAGTTCGTTTTTACGAGATACATTCTGTCGAAGTTCGTTTTTATGAGATATATTTTCTCGAAGTTCGTTTTTATGAGATACATTTTGTCGAAGTTCGTTTTTATGAGATACATTTTGTCGAAGTTCGTTTTTATGAGATACATTTTAACGAAGTTCGTTTTTATGAGATACATTTTCTCGAAGTTCGTTTTTATGAGATACATTTTGTCGAAATTCGTTTTTATGAGATACATTTTGTCGAAGTTCGTTTTTATGAGATACATTTTGTCGAAGTTCGTTTTTATGAGATGCATTTTCTCGAAGTTCGTTTTTATGAGATACATTTTTTCGAAGTTCGTTTTTATGAGATACATTTTGTCCAAGTTCGTGTTTATGAGATATATTTTACGGAGTTACGGAGTTTTATGAAGTTACGGAGCCCCTAAAGGGACATCCAAAATTATTTTCTTATCTCGTGCGCACGACATAATATCTCGTGCGCACGAGATAATTATCACGTGCGCACGACATATATCTCGTGCGCACGAGATAATAATAAGTATTAACGGAGCTTGCTGCACGTGCAGTGGACGAGTTTATGTGTAACGAAAGCAGCGTGTCAGGTACGGAGCCCGTAAAGGAACATCCAAAATTATTTTTTTATCTCGTGTGCACGACATATATCTCGTGCGCACGACATATATCTCGTGCGCACGAGATAATCATAAGTATTAACGGAGCTTGCTGCACGTGCAGCGGACGAGTTTGTGTGTAACGAAAGCAGCGTGTCAGGTACGGAGCCCCTAAAGGAACATCCAAATTTTTTTTTCTCGTGCGCACGACATAATATCTCGTGCGCACGACATAATATCTCGTGCGCACGACATATTTCCCGTGCGCATGAGATAATTATCCCATGCGCACGAGATATTATGTCGTGCGCACGAGATAAGAAAATAATTTTGGATGTCCCTTTAGGGGCTCCGTAACTTCATAAAACTCCGTAACTCCGTAAAATATATCTCATAAAAACGAGCTTGGACAAAATGTATCTCATAAAAACGAACTTCGAGAAAATGTATCTCATAAAAACGACTTTCGAGAAAATGTATTTCATAAAAACGAACTTCGAGAAAATCTATCTCATAAAAACGAACTTCGTTAAAACGTATCTCATAAAAACGAACTTCGACAAAATGTATCTCATAAAAACGAACTTCGACAAAATGTATCTAATAAAAACGAACTTCGAGAAAATGTATCTCATAAAAACGAACTTCGAGAAAATGTATCTCATAAAAACGAACTTCGTTAAAATGTATCATAAAAACGAACTTCGAGAAAATGTATCTCATAAAAACGAACTTCGACAAAATGTATCTCATAAAAACGAACTTCGACAAAATGTATCTCATAAAAACGAACTTCGTTAAAATGTATCTCATAAAAACGAACTTCGAGAAAATATATCTCATAAAAACGAACTTCGACAAAATGTATCTCATAAAAACGAACTTCGAGAAAATATATCTCATAAAAACGAACTTCGACAAAATGTATCTTTTAAAAACGAACTTTGGGAAAAATGTATCTCATAAAAACGAACTTCGACAAAATGTATCTCATAAAAACGAACGTTGGGAAAAATATATCTCATAAAAACGAACTTGGACAAAATATATACTTGATGGCACTACAGGGCTTTCGTACGATTGTTAGAAAAAAAGTCGCTGTACGACCAACATCTTGTGAGTTTCATATTCCATCAACCAAACCCCAAACCTGCATGGACGTGATTTTTACATTGCAGATTGATGCGATTTGCATAATAAAACATCTGAACTTGTCTGTGAATAGTGCGGAACTCTTGTTTTCCAGGGTTACCATATGCAACAACCTTTTTTCTTTCATAAATCCCAAAACTATAGGAACAGAAAAGATATTAATCCATTATTGATTACACAAGTCTCAATTTCAAAGGAAAAAAAATACTTAAATTAATAGGCCTACTAAGTATGATTTTGTTTACTGTGTATCCATCCATCAATCTCTGTGCAGAATCGAACTAAAAGCCATCACCAATTCCAAGCACGTAGCTCCAGGATCAGGAAACGTACTTTGATGCTTCCTTTTTGTTTGTGTTCACGAAGACTCGAAAAAACAATCTTTTTTTAATTGATTTGTTTCGAAAAGCAACGATTTTTTCAACAGTCATATCGGTATAGATTGGGCTGGACCACATTTAAAAACATACTCCTCGGCAAACTGATCCAACGTACAACTGTCCCTCGAAAACCAGCTTCAGACTATTTACACGCACACTTAACATGACTACAACAAGAGAAAGGCAATTATTTACACCAGGTAGATTCCTCTTGTGTTGTCATAAGGAAATAAAACTGTAATGAATACTGCATACTTATATACCTAAAGCTTAAAGTATGAGCAGTTCATTTTTTGACGATAAAACTACATATAACGCCAAACAGTTTTTTGCTAATGCGTCATTGCGTATGGCTTTTGTAACTTTGCCGGGCCTACAGGTCTGAGGATACAAATCTTTTTATACAATAAATGTATTATTTTTTTTTTTATTAACCATCAAAATTCGTGGAAGTTCCAGTGGCCTTTTGGTTATAAATTATTTACAAAATATTTTACTACAAGCACGCGTAGGTACCACTCCGAGGCCTGTGGTGCATGTCATTTATAAAAATTTGCCCGTTAAAAACTTCCCCAAAATTTAGGCAGTGTGGGTCGTGTATGTGATCTCGCACGCCGTCTGGGATGTATTACCGCAAGACATATTTGTGGGTTGACAGGACATTTAGTTCAGTCTGTGGAGCAAAGAATTTCGAAAAAAATATATACACACTCATAATTATTAAATTTCATGACAGTTTTTGTGACACAAGGAGTCTCCCCGATATCATTGGCCTTTACAGGAAACTGTATAGATGAAGATCAAGTAGTAATAATATAGCATGGAAGTGTTTTTCACAGTGCAGATTACTTTTGTCATTATTACAACTGCATAGAATATTTAAACACGAAATGAGCTTGCATGTGAATAGTGCGGGACTCCGAGTGTTTTCAGCGGTTAACATGGAACAGCTTTTATTTCTGTAATAACCCCCCCCCCTCAAAAAAAAAAAACCCGAAAAGAAATCAATGCATTACTGTTTACACGAATCTCGTTTTCAAAGAAAAACAAACTAATAACCTCACTTAATAAGATTTTTGTTTATATTACTGTGTATCCATCCACCAATCTCTGTGCATGGCACGCCAGGATCGAACTAAAAGCCATGACCCATTTGCCAGCATCGGGAAACACTATGGGTGCTATTTGCATCATTTTTGTTTTAGTTTGCAAATATTCGAAAAAGAATTATATTTTTAGTACATTTGCTAGCGAAATTTTAAAACAAATACCTTCGTATGTTCGCAGTCAATGGTATATGTTATGTGATGAAACAAATCACAGGTTTACCTATATCCTTAGTATGAAAACGGATGCACGAATGGTCCCTCGAAAGAAATAGCTCCACACTTTTCATACGTAGGCATACTCAAGTAGTCAACTATTTTCACCGTGTTTCTGTTAAGTTGTCATGAAGAAAAATGTGTTAATGAATACAACATGTTCAAGGAGGAATGGTGAATTTGTTAGAGCACGGAAACAGGGTAAGACTGGCTTTCTCATAGATCACATTACAAAATTATTGCGGTACCCAAATCAAAAAGTCAAAATCAATTTTTTTTACGCACAGCTAAGATGATGCATTGCAAGATCTGACGGGTTTCTACGAGATTTCATGTAGGAAGCCAGATGTCGCATAGACATAATTATTATGTCTTTATATGAGCTGTCGGCGATTCAGGGGGCGCGCGCGCGTCTCTGTGCGTGCCCGTTATCACCAGTTATTTCAAGTTCTATATCTATGGTTATCACGTCTTAAGCCACGCGTTCAGTGCATTTTGTACATGAACTCTGAACAGTTGTTCATATCCTTGTGTAGAAGATCCGTGGTTAGAATAGGCCCATTCATTGGTATATTTAAAACGTGTTGGCATATGTAAAACCCCAACCATATACCATTGAGGCGCTTGTACGTTATTTGTTCTTTTTAGGTTAAATCTGGACATAGCGTCTTCACCATGAGTACTGCCAGCGCCAGCGACAGCCCCAACAGTAAGGTCAGATATGCCGAACAGCTGCTCCGGAGCTCTCGAAAGGTTTCTGCAGAAGTTGGGAACCGTGATGTTTTCTTGGTTCCTTCGAACGAGGAGTCAGTTTCTACGACACAAGCATTCCATAGTTACAATGTCGGTTTACCATCAGGGATGCCCTCGCATAACAAGGTAATAATGGTCGTTGGTGCTACAGGCGCCGGTAAGAGTACCCAAATCAATGCGATGATCAATTACATCCTTGGAGTGAAGTGGGAAGATAATTTCAGATTCAAGCTGGTACATGAGCCAGGGAATGGGACACAGTCACAGGCTGACAGTCAAACACAAAATATATCATCGTACACAATCCACAGCAATGATCACATCAATGTTCCCTACACGTTGACAATCATTGACACGCCAGGGTTTGGGCATACCAAAGGTATTAAGCGCGATAAAGCTATTGTTGAACAGATCCGAGAGTTTTTCTCTCACCCTGAAAACCACGGTGTGGATCACATTGATGCTGTAAGTTTCGTTGTTCAGGCGTCACAAGCACGTCTCACCCCAACACAACAATATATCTTTGATTCAATCCTTTCCATTTTTGGTAAGGATATTGAGCCAAACATATTGCTGCTGATCACGTTTTCTGACGGGCAAACACCAAAGGTCCTCGAGGCAGTTAAAAAGGCAAAGCTGCCTTTCGGTAAGACGTTCAAGTTCAACAACTCGGCACTATTGGCTAGTCGAGGAGATGGTGGAATCTCGTTCGATAAAATGTTCTGGCAAATGGGATATACAAGTATGAAAGACTTTTTCGATGCTCTTGACCACCTACAGCCGCGAAGTCTTACTCTCACACGAGAAGTTCTAGAGGAACGAATACGTCTGGAGATTGCTCTTGAAGGTATACAGCCTCAGATTCACTTGGCTGGTGACTACAGGGCACGTTTAAACAAAGATAAACAATTGCTCGAAGAACATAAACAGGAAATAGAAGCAAATAAGAATTTCGAATACGAGACCGAAGTTACAAATCCTGAAAAAATTAAAAATGTGGGAAAGCCTGCACAAAATTGTCCAACTTGCCGGTACACTTGCCATTACCCATGTACCTTCACTCCATTCAGTTATTTTTGTCGTGCAATGTCGTTGAAGGGCAATTGCAATGTGTGTCCTGGCAAGTGTTCATCAGGCGTCCACGTTAAAGAGCGCTTCAGATATCAGTGGAAAACGATGAGAGTAAAACAGACTTATGCTGACATCCAGAACCGATACTTAGACGCCCAGGGGCGAAAACAAGACCGTGAAGCTGTGATCAAGGGTATCGAAGCTGATCTGGCCAATGCAGAAGATGCTGTGGATGAGTTAATCCAGGAGTCTCACCGTTGTGCCCAGCGCCTTGAACAGATTGCCCTCAAGCCTAATCCCTTAGGCATAGAAGAGTACTTAGACGTGTTGATTGAAACAGAGAAGGCAACGAAAAATAACGATTGGGAGAAAAATGTTGGGTCACTGGTAGCGACAAAACAAAGAGAAAGCTATAAGAATATAATCAAAGATACAGCGTCGAGTGCTTGGAACACCGCGTGGAACAAAATAACAGCCTTTAGGAACAAAAAACCTGCATTCCAAGAAAAAAGTACACAAGTTTTGTAAAAATTCACCATGTTTTATATCTGCTTGCAATTGTGTAAAAAGTTAGATAATGCGTGTTGGGTAAAAGTTTTCTCGTATTGACTAATTCTAAAGTGGCTAATTTTGGCCCGCATTCGAGTTGGCTCGCGTACGAGTTGTCTCGCTACGAGGTGGTTCACGTACGAGTTGTATCGCGTACTAGTTGATTCGCGTACGAGATGTTCTGTTTCAACGCAGCCGCAGTCATGATGTAGGCCTAGCCTACGTACGTGTGGCATGCATATATATACGCGCAGTGGCCCAGTTATGCACTACTGATATTAAGAGTATCCTGTATTAAATGTTTTATCGTGCAAAGTCTCCTGGCAATTCTGGGTCTTTGGGACGTTATAACAATCACAAGAGCTTTAGAAAATGTTACCTTCAAAGACCGAAATTAGCTGCGGCACACTCCCATCGGTGTACAGACGTCACGGTGTTTTCCATCTTCACTTCGCGTCATCACCGCGTGTACGTTTTTACCTTGTTTTAGTGCGTTTTACCTAATTGCAGTACGTTTTTACGTAATTAAGGTAAACTGACTGCTTTACTAATTCAATATGTATTTTACAATTTACGTGTTTTCAAGGTAATTTTTTTCCGGTGAATTTTACCGAAGTTGTGTATTATTTTTCATAAGGCCAAAAAAAAAAGTCTCCGGTTTCTGGTATGCGCGCGCGTCGCCGTAGCCATGCGCGTCGGCAAAATGAAAACGTTTTTTTTTTTCAATACAAGATGATGTTTCAAAACCGCCAAACTCACTGGTTTGACTGGAATTCTGCTGCTGCACAATTTTAACGTGTTTTTAGAAGGGGTCATGATCGAGAATAAGATTTATGTGGCCTCTCTGGACTCCCATATATTTGCACTAAGTTTAGTCGGGCACCATCTGCAGTCATCAGCCGACATTTGAAGCAAAAAAAAAAAAAAAAACAGGTAAAAAAAAAAAAGCCGCGTCGCCGCACCACTTTTGGGGTAAGCTTCATACCAGAAACGGAGACTTTTTTTTTTGGCCTAACCATTTTTACCTAATTATTCTTTAAATATCTTTTTCAGAGTGTGGCAGCTGCGCATGGCTGCCAAAAACTTGCGCTGCTACTTCCTTAAAAAAATCATTGGATCACCACAGTGCAGGCGCTGATCCAGGGGGGTGGGGGAGATTTGAACCTCCCCCCTCCGAGCTCTGGCTATTTTTTTCATCGAAATACATACAAAATAATGTAAAACACCCCTGCTCTGACACCCCAAAACAATTAAACTGATAATATCTTATAATAACATTGTATGCCTGTGCACAAAATTCGGACAGAGCCAGCTGGGTTACGGTGGTATTTGTATACTGTTCTGTAATAATATTGGTAATGATCGTCCGATTTGAACAGCGTCTCCATAATTATATCTTCTCCATAATTACGTCTACTAACGTTAGATAACAAATAAAATTATGCGGTGCATGCAAAAGGCCACAATCATTAACACAAATTGGATGTTGCAAAAAACTTGAAAATACGGGAGCAAATATAATGACACTGCAGGCACACATCAGAAAACACGCTCGAGATTACGAGGAGAATGAATGCCTTTGAAAATAAATGAACAATGAACAATGAACAAAACACTTCCAACCAAGGGTAAATAAAATCAAAACGCTAGGGGATTCCACTGTGACAGAGTGATTCCATCTAGCAGAGGGATGGCTATGGCAAGTTTGTCAACTGAAGTTGAAACGATCATGATGATTACGACGAGGATGATGCAAAATGTTTGGCTCTTTGACCCATGTGTGACTGACGATGATCGTACAAATATGCCCTCCAATAAGGTGTTCAAGTGTTGGTCTATATAAAGGCCACCAAAAGAGATGAACTATAGTGTGACTCAATCATCCGAAGACATTTTTGCGACCACACCCCTCTTAAATTAAGATTGAGAATGTGGAATTGCCTGAGAATGTGGAATTGCCTGAGAAGGATATACAATTTAGTTCAATAACACATTGACATATAAGTGAACCTACCTGGAAAGCTTCAGAGAAGGATTTGCATATGTTTGGCCTGTCCCCATCCCCCCAAACTTAATTAATCTCCCATTGAACCTTTCTTTTCCACTCTCTGTGAGTTGAATATACATGTATAACTTTTGTGTTTGCTCCAATGGAACGGAATGCTATGACATTGATGCTATGTAAAGTGGCTTTTTTGTAGATGTCTTTGGTTATTTAAGAATAACTTTAAGATTTGCATTGCAGTTTGGTGTTGTACGCATAAAATATGCTTGATATGTTAGAAATATATATTTTTTAATTGATAATAATGTGATTGCGTAGATAGCTAAGAAGGAAAATGTTGTACAAAATGTCACTGAATAGTTCTTTTTTTTTTAAGGAAGGAAACTTACTCATATCGAAGAGTGTAACGTAACACAGTTGGATATGAAGTGATGCATTTGATGTTATTGGACTGGTAAAGGACTGGTTATTATTTTGAAATATAGAATTCCCAAAACCAAGGGGAAACCCCCCAAAACAATGCCAAACATTGGTTACACTACATGAGCTGGGCCTATAAGTTTTTTTTATTTGGCAATGGCTTTCAAGATTTAAGCACTGTGTTAAATTCATTTATGATATGGTTATCATCATCGAAATCAGTCATTGCACTATAGCGAGAATGCGATAGATTAATGTATAATGAGTTATTACATACATGTAGATGTATTATCGTGTGTTTTAATGTATGGAATGTGCAAATGTGTGTACTTGCTTCATTAAATTGAAAACAATCTTTTATAAGGAATTTAAAGTAAAAGTATAGCACGCAGAATGTGTTCATCAGGATATAAATAACATGATGATTACTGCCCGTCTACACGGAACAAACAGGAATCAAATATCAAAGCATTTGACTTTAATAGTCAAAGACGAGCAGGAAAGTAGTTTTGACAAACTGCATTAAAAGAAGTGTAATTACAATGATAGTTAAAACTGTTTTGCGCTTGAGTCAATGACTACGTAAATATAGCCTATTAACTAAAAAAATTGCAAAAACCTACCAAAAAATAATATTAATTATATTGCAGCTCTTGAAGCAGCTATCAGTACCTTTGTTCATCGATAGCTGTGAAAATGCTAAGCATACATGTTAGTAAAATAATTTCTGATGTAAATGCCAGTGACTTTAGTTTTTCAACTAAGTAACGCGTTTTATTAAAGACATGAGTTATTCATTTATATATTCAAGTATGTTTACACGTATTAATGGGTGTGTAAAACTATGTAATATCAACTTCTCTTGATCATTTTCTGTTTCTAAATAACACTTTTGCGACTTTGCCAAGGATTCGCTCGGAATCTTTAGCAAAAGTGTCATTTGACCAAGAAAAGTGTCATATTTTAAAAAAGGTATCAGGTCAAATAGAATTCGGTATTGAAGTTTTTGAAACAGTCAGAAACGAGCGGGAATGTAGTCTGATGTCAAACTGCTATAACGTAATTAAATATTAGTATGATAGTTACAAAAAAACGGCTGTTTTTTTATGAGCCGTTGTTTGGGGTGTTAAACTATTCCCAAATCTTTATTTGTGTTAATGACTAACTTTCAAATATAGCCTATAGTAATGCATTGCAGAACGCGAAGACTCATGCATGTTGATTCTCAAGCTTAATAATACGTGTAGCTATAGTTGTACAAGCTTGATAACAAAAATGGAGGGGGAAAAACACTTCAGAGTTATATTCTGGTGGCAGTTTGATAAGCATCAAAGTGTATCTGTAGCACTAATTGTGACAACAAAAATAATTACCGAAAAAGGTGGATATCGTATAATATATGAATGGAACAATAATTATGATGCATAAATGTAAAAGCAATAATTTTACAAAGACATTCTTTACAATAATAGTACACTTGCAAACGTTATCGCATTTAACTGAAGTAAATATAGATTGGGGTGTTTGTGTGTTGCATTACTACCATTCCCGATTATTGCAAATAAATAGTATATATGGTAAAATAGTTGTTGCTATAAGTATTAACAGAATGGATGCGCTTTGGTTTAAACGTATTTAATCGCTTATATGCATACTTTTCAAATTTTAATTTGATGAAAATTATTCAATGTTTAGCTTATAAAATAGTTTGCAAGCATCATTTGAATTAGCTGTATAATGCATGGTATATACATGTAGATCTTTAACGTTCAAGAAAAATATTGTGAAAGTAATTACTTGTGTCACACAGTAGTTTAGTCCGCTGCTTTATTAACCATGAAAATCTAAATATATATCTTTACAAATTAGTAAGCATATATCTTTATTCTCGGCATGCTTTCATATTTTCGTTATGGTTATCATCAGATGATAATAAGATGAATGCTGTAAATAAGTATGAAATCATTCTGAAGTATTTTCAAAATATATTCAAGGCTCAAATTGATACAATTATTGGTAGATTATACACCAATTTGTTAATTATGTTAATTTTTTTAATTATTGAAAAGACGACATGGGACTTTACAATGTACAAAGATTCGAAAATAATTGAATGTTTTAAGTAACATACTACAATATAATGAATTTGAAAAGTTTGAGTGGAATATTAAGTAGCGGCCAAATGACAGGCACTGGCAGAGATAGCTTTACCTTAATTAAAAGTATTGTAATTCTTGGTTTAATTCTTCAAATATCGTAGCCAAAGTATTAAGTGGCTGCATTTTGAAAGCTGGTAATTAACATAGCCATCTATATCAATATCTGTTTCAGAGTACAATTTAAATATAAAATATACCTCATTGTAACCCTAAAAGTGCCAATTTAAATTAACCTCAGAGCCGAAGGTGAGGGATATTCCGCCCCTCAAATCTCAATTGTTCAGTGCCGGTGTAGTGTGAGATTTGGCTCTGTAATATACTGTTTGGATTGAGCATGTACTAGCTAAGATAATTAGGTCAGAGATACTAAGGCCAAAAAAAGTCTTCTGGTATGTGCGCGTGTCGCCGTAGCCATGCGCAAAATATTTTTTTTTCCTAATGAAAGATGATGGCTCCAAACCGCCAAACTCACTGGTTTGACTGGAATCCTGCTGCTGCACAATTTTAAGATCGACTACCATATATTTGCACTAAGTTTAGTCGGGCACCATTTGCAGTCATCAGCCGACATTTGAAAAAAAAAACAGTAAAAAACAAAAAACAAAAACAAAAACGCGTCGCCGCACCACTTTTCGGGCAAGCTCCATACAAGAAATCATAGACTTTTTTGGGCCTAAGGTCAGGTACGTATGCATGAGACCAGATTTCATATGAGTCCAAACTTCATATGACACCGGGCCATTTTAAAATTTGGTGTGCATGTATAATATAAACGCATCCATATTAAGAATATCCGCAAAGTTTTACTCAAATCAAATGAACACTTTCTTGTGTCCGATGTGGAATACGTTACCAAGCACGTACGGGCAGCAGGTGTTAAAAGAAATTAACATTTCAACACACTGCGTTCGACACTGCGATACTTTGAAATTTGACATTTCAGGCAAACGAAACACCTGATTTTCAGAATTTTATTGTCCAAATTTGCCGCTCGACCCGACCCCATAATGCTTTGCAATGAAATTGGAGAAATGTGCTTGGTGGTTGTTGGTTGTTTCTGCCCTGCTCTTTTGGGGTCTTTTGTTTTGCTTTCGTAGGCTTGTAGACGAAGTAAATTCAATAAAATGATTTCGCAATCGAATTTTGGTGGTACTTTTTGTTTCTTCAGTTTAGCATCGTCCAATAATCAAATATCTTCATACTTTTCAAGTCATTCTAACTAAAAAAAAAAAATTGCACTCAAAAATACACGATCACGTGGGAAAATTGTTGGCAGGTTTTAATGAGTTTCTTTGCATAGTACAGAAGTCGTACTACATTGTCTAAATATGTAATTCCATTGAAGCGTACCATAACGGGATTGAGCAAATCATTATTAGCAATCAAAAGATTGAATTTTGAAACAAAATACCCCGTGTGTTTATCAAAATAATATTATATTTCCAAAAAGGAAATTTTACTGCTTGTTTTCCCCCGCCCCCCGGCCCCAAGTCCAACTAAACTCCGGAATTTTCAAACGT